TTTTTCACCTTTTAGGCGTAATTACACACGTAGTTTAATTATCTTTGAAGCGTTTTGTCGCTGCAAGATACCCCCATACCTCCCTCCCCTCCCCCCTTTTGATTTCTCCCCATCCCCTTCTCTTTTATCAGAATTCTTGTTTTCTTTCATCTTTCTTATTTAATCATTCTTTTTCTTATTATTTATTTTCTTTTTTTTCTCTCTGTATGGCTTTTTTTTAGGGGAAGTGTGTTTTAAGCTCTTATCTTGTCTTTTCTTTTGTCTTTCATTTCTTCTTCCTTTTTGTTATTTTATCTTTCATGCTTAAGCCTTTGTGTTTCCTTTTCTCTTTTTCTTGCTCATTTCTTTTTCTTGTTTTTTTTTATTTATTTATTTTTTTTTTTATTATATCTCCGGCCTCTTCCCCCATTATCGCATTGTCTTTCATTGTCCTTCTGGTTTTCTTTCTCTCTCTCCTTTACTTCTCTCTTCATATTTTGGCTGTATCTCTCTTTCTCTTTTTTCCGATCACTTTTTATTCAGTTTTCTCTCTTTCTCTCTACTTTAGCATCCTATAAAATGGTAGCAAAACCCACAATGCAAAATCTAGATTACTGAAAATGAGACTACACTTTCCAAGCCCACCTTAGTGTCATTTTCAATAAATCTAGTTTTTGCATTGTTTTTCTGCTATAGAATCTACACGGAAGAGTGTTTTACTCAACACCATACAATCTGTTTATCTTCTTCCGTGTCATTTCCCTGTTGTTGTTTTTTTCATATCTTTTTCATTCTTCTATTTCCTCTTCGTGCCTTTCACTACGCCCACCCCTCAGTTTCCCCTCTTTCCTTCTCCTCTCTTTCATTAATCTGATTTCCCCTCCTCCTCTCCTTCATTTGCCTATTTTCTTTTTTCCTTTTTCATATTTTCTTCCTTTCATTTAATTGCTTTCTTACTTGAGTCCCTCAGTTCCCCTTTCTGTGTTATTCTGTTCTTGTTCAAATAATATGTATATATGTTTGAGTATATGTATAATT